CGCAGAAATACTATGATGACTGATATGTTCAGACAGATGTGAGAGCAACCAATATATGTCCAATCTGAATGTATGATTCATTATCAGGCAAGTAAGGGACGCTAATAACAAAGGCAACATAGTGGCCAATGATGACGGCCAACAACTCCAACATAGGAGCTGCCTTAAGGCCTCATGATCTGCTCAATAATTTGCAACTAAAAGTCTCAGCTGGCCGCATAGCAGGGCTTTGTTACAGGGTTTAACTTCTGCCCTTTCCCTGCCTCCTACTTGGCCAGTGCTTGGTAAGAAACAAATGAATCAACAAAACAATGTTGTAAACCATGGCAAGAAAACTGTGGTGTGCTTCTTTTGGTTGGATAGATACAGAGTTTCGTTTCTTTCAAAGATGATGGCATGGAAGCAGATGTCATGAACCTGAGAGGAACTAGCAGAGTTAGAAAGTGAGTCTATCCACAGAGGCTAGAATAAGGATTTTTAACAGCAATTTGCAAAGACATTTTCCCCTATTTAGATTTGTCAGAAAGTAGATTATTAGAAAAATTGATTTGTCAGAAAGTAGATTATTAGAAAAATTGTGACGTAATGGATTGACAGTTAATTCATTATTTGAATGTTATCCATACAGGCAAAAAGCTATAATATAACTTTAATCACCAACCACACACTGTGGTTTCTTTAAAGAAAGTTCTTGTTTTGCTGGTTCCACTGTTGCCTGGAAGAAGGACTGTGAGTGTAGGAGGTGACGATTTCACCCTGCACTTAATTCTCTGTGGATACAGAAAGTGGGTAGGCTGGAAATGAAAATTCTGTCATTGTCATCTTCTTAAAGACTGAGCTAAGCGGAGGAGGTGGAAGTCATTCGGGTGGCTGCTGATATAGAAAATGCATTCTCTAAAATAATATAACATTAAATAAACAATGCACTTTCTTCAGCATATTTTATTTCATCTTTGATTATTTATATCCCAGTTTATTCTGCATGATACAACCTTTATTTCTCAGTTTTTCTTTTGTAGGCAATTTATACTTGACTTTGCTAATTATTGCACTGGCAGCTCTTCATCCTGGAAACTAGCACCCTGCAGGTGTTATTGACATTTCTGTCTTAAATATATCCATTTCAAAAACATGGGTTGAGTTTGTATCATGTTCAGAAGACTATGCCATAATGAAAGCAGTAGGGGTGACTGAGACGCAGTTCATATCCACTAGAATATCAAGCATCATTCCAAGGGAAGATGCGATTACTCACAACAGTGCAGGGAGATGGTGTCTGGAATGGTTCTTGAAGATAGTGGTGCTTGCATTGAAATATGGAGGATGGATAAAGCTGAGGTAGCCATTTTAGACTATAGAAGCATATTAGACAAAAACAAAGCAGTGAAAAGGGCTCATACATGAAACTATTTCAGCCATCTTGTTAATAAATCATCATTACCTTTTGAGATCTTAGGTGAAGCTGCTATAATAAGACAGATCAACAAGAAAAAAACCAAGTTATTAACATGTATATCTCATATATACATGGGAGACGGGGAATGAATGGTTCTCAAAGAGGTGGCTTAGAACTCTGGCTTATATAACCTCTTCACAAAGAACAACACATTTTTGAAGAAATTGGAGGACAAAAGAAAAGGAAGCTTTAGAGGCAGCAAATTGTGGGAAGGCGGATACAGGTGGATAAGGCAGATATGGTGGATAAAGGCTGGCTGGTAAAGTTTGTTATGTAGATTCCTCTGGTACTGGTTTTTGGGCTGAGAACTAAGTCATCTCCATTGAAAAACCTTTGTCCTTCTTTGTAGGGAGGAAAGGAGGATACTTTTAGAAATTAGGTGCTGCTTTTAGGCAAATAAGAGCAGTGCAGAAACTTTTCTTGTATCTACTTCTTCTCAGTTGCCTTTAGCTCAAAATAATCCTCATGCCAAAGTGGCATATTCTTCGCCCTTTCAAGCGCTGTCATATTGTTTTAATTAAAAACAAAAAAAATCAAAACAAAAAAACTTAAACAACCATGCACAAAATATAACAAAAACTTCAGCTGGGGTGGGTGACTGCCCATCCTGGTCAAATAACTAAATGCAGTCAACATGATATGTACAATTACAAGGTAATATGCAAGTGTAAAACATTTCATTGTCTTTAATCTGTTCTCGCATATGGCTACTCCTGTCCTCTTTTATAGAGAAGACTTTTATACTGGACTGGTTCTGAAACCGACTGTACACAGGAAATGTCTACACTGCCTACTTCCGGTTTTAGGTCTCTGAAATTCCTTCCCACTTTAAAAAGTTTTACTTTCTTAGACCTCTGAAATTTCTCCCCACTCTTACAAGGATGGTATTTGTAAGAGTTAGCAAGATGCTCCCTATTCAAGTTCCAAAGGTAAAGGCTCGTTCACCCCAGGACAGAAGCTAGAGAATCTGAAGAGCATCCTGGGGGCTGGCTGGAAACCAGCTAGCTTAGCCAGTGGAATGGGATAAGGAAGAAGAGGAAAGAAAAACAGTTAGACTTTTTCTTGTAGGACTAAATTTCTCACTGCTCTACATCACATAGGAATTATGTATTTTTCTAGCCTATAATTCTCAAACATAAATTTGATGTGTTACTTTCACCAACAACCAGCTTATTTCCTGGTGATTCATTGTCAACAATATTTACACACATATGAGCAGAATTAGAGAAATATAAACTCGTTTTAGACTCAAGTAAGAATAAGATAGCCCATTTTATTTGTTCTATAGACAATATATACTATTGTCATTTTCTTTTTATTGCCTTAAGTTCAGCTATAGCAAGTCAATAGATCAATAAATGTCATTTTCTTATTTGGCTAAAATCACAAAGTGAGTACAAATTTCAGCCTTCCAGGCACAGAAATGTACTAAATATCAAAGCATTAGGCACCCCATACTATTAGAGCCAGATACGACAGTATTACATTCCATTACAAGAAATGATGCTCATTTTTATCCCTTTTCTTATTAACAATTTTCTTTAGAATTATTTTTTTACTCTAAAATTGTAATCTAAGTGACAATTTCTATAAATGAAGCAATGAGATTAACAGCAAAAACCAACTCTTACCATGTTCATCTGTCTTAGAGCTGAAAGGGCATTAAAGATTGTTGGTCCAGGGCAGGGTGCAGTGGCTCATGTGGGTAATCCCAGCGCTTTGGGAGGCCAAGGCTGGCGAAAGACCTGAGGTCAAGAGCTCGACACCAGCCTGGCCAACATGGTGAAACTCTGTCTCTACTAAAAATACAAAAATTAGCCAAGTGTGGCCACACATGCCTGTAATCCCAGCTACTCCGGAGGCTGGGAGACAGGAGAATCGCTTGAACCTATGAGGCAGAGGTTGCAGTGAGCTGAGATCCCACCACTGCACTCCAGCCTGGGCGACAGAGCAAGACTTGGTCTCAAAAAATAAAATAAAATAAAGATTGCTGGTTCAACCCCTTCCTGTCATCTGTCAAAGTACCTGATTTCCAAAGACAAGGGTATGGCGTAAGGTCACAGCCCTAACTAGAGGTGGGCAAGTGTGAGCTGAGTGAGAGGAAAGGCTGCCAGAGAGACACAGGTTCAGACAAGTATTTCCAGTGTGTTGTCAATGAAGGGGATGAGTGTTAAGGAAGAGGCAGGAAAGATGTGTTATTATTTTTAATCTGTGGGAGACATTGGTCTACTTAATGGCTGAGAAAAGACGATGACAGAGGGAGGAACTGAAGATTCCAAGCAGCAGCACAGGGAGAAGGAACCAGGAAACTTAGAGGATGTGAATCAAGAGCAAAGAAAAGGAGTTTGTACCAAAAGTCAGACAGCAGTACCTCTTCCTTAGAACAGAGACAAGTACCTTGCCGAGCAGACTAGAGCAAAAGTGAAACCTGAGGGCACACAAAGTCAATACTGAAAATAAAAAATCAGCAGCCAGGTCCATGGCTGTTGTCCAAAATCAGAGTCACAAGGTATCAGGAGGAGACTAGGAGCTGCTAGGTGATGCCAAGAACCTAAGGTGCTCAAAGTCGCATTTATAGAAGTTTTCTTTTTATTGCCAAATGGAAATGAGGGAAAGCCAAAGGTATTCAGGAGTTAGGGACCGGGAAGACAGAAACTTGAACACAGAAAAAGATGACAGAAGGGTCATCAGTGAACCTCCTGAAGGTTTACTGAAAAATCAACTCACAAAAGGCTGATTAAGAGGAGAAAAGGTATCATATTTATCTAATGTATATACACAGGAGGCTTTGGAATGAAGACCCAGCCCTGCTGGGGGATACAGAAGCTTATATACCATCGTGAGGTGACAAAAGAATGAGTATTGGATATATAACCAATACTGCCAATAGTGTGTTCCTTGCATGGGACTAGAATTTGTTGGGGGAGGACCACATTTACGGAGCGCGTGTTAACATGCCAGAACAAACCTGTGAAGTAAGGACTAGGATTATCCCATTGGTTCAAATGAGGAAAGTTAAGCACAGGGGAAGTTAAGGCGGTTGTCCCAGCTCATGTTGAGAGGCAGTGCTGGAAATGAGATCCAAACCTGTCCTGACTCCAGAGCCTCAACTGTGCCATGGCTCGGCCTCCCTGGTTCCACTAAGGTCTCCCAGGGGGTAGAAGATACCACCTGGCACACGAGAGAAAACAAGTCTCTGTGGTATACGTATAGTGCCAAGAAGATAGGTGATCAAATCAGGGTTATTCAATGGAAAGGATTTGTAGCAGGAACACGGTACCAGGGATGACTAGAGCAACATATGACTCATCCTTGCTTCCAGAGGCTGAACAAGCCCGGGTGTGGAGAGTCAAGGACTGTCAAGCCTGAGGGCAGAGAATGTTAATGGGAGAGATGTGTCATCCCTACTCCCACGTGGGTGGAGCTCCATCGGCAAAACACTCCCAGCCTCACCCAGGGAAAGTGAGAGTCTTCCCTGATTGTCTTGAGTCTGGAAGAAAAGTGAGGCATTATTTTCATCCTCTTCTTCTTTCCTTTTTGAAAGGGAACTTGACTGCAGAGAGAACATATTGTTGACTACTGTCAGCCCTGCAGAAGTTTACACACAGAAGCCTTGCCTGGTGGTAGAGAGCAGAGCGACCCAGCACTGCCTTCCAGGGCCCCAGGCCCTTGGCCTCCTGAAGCTTCACTGAAAAATCAACTCACAAAAGGCTGATTAAGAGGAAAAAAGGTATACATATTTATCTAATGTACATACACAGGAGGCTTCGGAATGAAGACCCAGCCCTGCTGGGGGTACAGAAGCTTACATACCATCGTGAGGTGACAAAAGAATGGGGGTTTGGATCCTGACAAAACAGGTGACGGGAGAGGAGAGGAACTCTGCTGAGGGACAATATGTGATTACTAGGGAGAATGAAGGGAGGGGAACAGACATTAACCAGTAATTAGTTCTCTTTAGATGTCTTATAAAGGATTTGTTCAGGTGCAGCCACATCTGGGTTTGCTTTCCTGCAATAGATAATGAGGTAACAGGAAAGAGAAGAAAAACCAGTTGTTCTCCTTGGTGGGTCTGGACTTTAGGCAGATAGAAGAACTTCAGAAAACAGCTTTCTCCTATGCCTGGGGAGAAACTCTGGAGGCTGGGGCAGGTGGGAGGGACCTCGATGCTGCTTTAGTTCAGCTCGTCAAAATGCCGTATCTGGAGTCCTGGTTTCTGAGCCCCAACAGCCTCTAACTGGATCAGGAAATGCATTCAATTCTGCAGCTAAGTACTAGGAAGTCTACTGGCCTGAAGATCTAAGCTGCATTCATCAGCGCCAATTACTCAGTAAAAATCCACCTGATATTTTGTCCCATTCTCTATTGGCTCATAATGCTGGTGAAGAATAGAAGTATGATATTTTCATGCCTTCCCCAAGACCTTAAAACGATCAGAGGAAACAACAGGGAACTAGTGTTTGACCCTGAATACCACCCAGCAAAATGGTTGGGACCCTAATGATTGTTTTCACCAGGGAAAGAAAATTGAATGGCTCAGAGAATCTTGGCTGTCCAACTTTTTCTGCTGAAGTCTTCTTGTGGTGCTTTTTCTTCATGAACACCTGATACGTTTCCCTGGTGATACACAGCGTCACACTCCAAAACTGCTCTTTTTGTCTCTTGTCAGTTAATCCTGACAGAATTCCATTTTCTCGTCCATCAAGGTAAACCCTCAATACACTTAGTTGCTTAGTCATTGAAGACAAAAGCTACCTGGATCCTTCTTCTAACATTCAAGAATCTGGTGACCAAGTGTGTAGCCTGAGGTCTTCCATATTCCCCCCAGGAAGGCTATCATCTCTCTTCTAAAGTCTAACTCAAGTTGGCATTTCCTGATATGCCAGAGTTGCCAAGGTGGTAGATTTCTTAACGCAGAGAAAAAAGATAAAAGGTAGGGGAGATAATGGAAGTTAGCCAGTTTGTTCATGATGTTTTGTTTAGTGTAAAGCAACAAATTAACCTAGTCTTCGAATCATGATTTACAAACGATAAAATACAAATCTAAGGCTGGATGCAGTGACTCATATCTATAATCTCAGCACTTTGGAGGCCAAGGCAGGTGGATGGATCGATCATCTGTGGTCAGGAGTTTGAGACGAGCCTGGCCAACATGGTGCAACCCATCTCTACTAAAAACACAAAAATTAGCAGGCATGGTGGCAGGCGCCTGTAGTCCCAGCTACTTGGGAGGCTGAGAGGCAAGAGAATCAATCGCTTGAACCCAGGAGGCAGAGGTTGTGGAGGTTGCAGTGAGCCAAAATCTTACCATTGCACTCCAGCCTGGGCAACAAGAGTGAAACTGTCTCAAAAAAAAAAAAAATCTAAGTGTACATTTTGATGAGTATTGACAAATTTAATTGCATGCAAAACAAGATATAGAATATGTCCATCACCCTTTATAATCAAACACAACCCCCATCCCCACACACAGAGGCCCCTGCATTCTGATTTGTTTTTTAATTTTTCTGTCACATCAAGCATGTATCATTTGTTTGCTAGAAACATTCCAATTCTACTCTTTTTGTTATTTGAAAATACACAATAAAGTATTGTTGACTACAGCCACCCTTTAGTGCTGTCAGATACTGGATCGTATTTACTCGATCTAACCATATTTTTGCACTCACTAATCATCCCCACTTTTACCCCTCCCAGCCTCTGGTAATCATCATTCTACTGTCTATTTCCATGAGTTGAATTGTTTCAGTTTTTACCTCCCACACATGAATTAGAACATGTGAGATTTGTCTTTCTGTCACCATAGTTTAGTCTTGCTTGTTCTAGAACTTTATAGAAATAAAACAAAATATTATATACTCCTCTAAGAGAAAATAGAATCTTGGGACTCCAAATTTACTATGCCAAAGGGAAAGTTAAACTTGGAAACAGAGTCAAGCAAAAACTGCCTTCCTTTTGTTCCCAAACAGAAAGCTGTAATTTCGCAACCGTAGTCACAGCCTCACATGTATAAACCAGGTTCTCACAATACAAGGCTGCGTATCTTTCTAGACGGTTTTCCTGACAAATTGCTCACAAGGAAATTTCCTGTGGGCCCCCAAATCTTTCAAAATACATACCCCCCATATAAACTAGTCCTGAAACAAGTTCTGTTCAATTTCACCTTGATTTCAATTTACCAGCTTATCTTCACAGATATGGAACAAGGACCAGAGTGGAGATTATCCCTCTGCCGCCCCCAGATGAGTGCACAAACAATCTTTTCCTCTACTCAGCTTTTCACATGTTTACTTTATCTCACGTAAAATGTAGATTTACAGAGCAGGAGATGAATGCATAATTGACTTTTTCCTCTATTCCCTCTTTTCACAAGTAAAATGTAGATGTACTGATTGCTAATCAAAGCCTCTCAAAACTGTAACCGCTTGCCTCATTGCCTACTGATTAAGTTTGGATGTTTGTCCCCTCCAACTATCATGCTGAAATGTGATCCTCAGTGTTGGAAGTGAGAACGGATGGGAGGTGTGTGGGTCACGGGGACAGATTCCTCATGAATGGCTTGGTGCCCCCTCCCCAAGGCAGTGAGGGAGTGCTCACTTTATTAGTTACCATGAGATTGGATTGTTAAAATATCTAGTGTCTTTCTCACTGCCTCTCTCATCATGTGACATACCTGCTCTCTCTTTAGCTGCCATGAGTAAAAGCTTCCTGAGGCCTCAGCAGAAGCAGCTACAAGTGTCAAGCTTGTATAGCCTGCAGGACCATGAGCCAGACAAACCTCTTTTCCTTATAAATTACCCTATGAGTATGCAAAGACATACGGAGGAATATGATGGACTTTAGAGACTCAGAAAGGGGAGAATGGGAGGGGAGGTAGGTATAAAATTCTACGTTAGGTACTTATTAGCTACTCAGGTGACAGGTGCACTAAAATCTCAGAATTCTCCACTATGTAATTCATCCATGTGACACAAAAACCACTTGTGCCCCAAGAGCTATTGAAATAAAAATAAATAAATGAGATGAGTGGAGCTTTTTAAAGAATAGTCTATATTTCCAGGGGAGAATATTATATATTGTTAGTGTGAAGCAGCATTCACCATCAGTCCTATTCCAAGTTTTAATGCGTCTTATGCAAACACTCAGAAACACAGTTATAAGTAGATGGGAATAGAAGGAGCTTTCTAAAACACACCAATATCAGTCTTTTTAAAAAACAGGTCCTTCTTCTGATTTGAATGTCAGAAATAACAAAGTGATCAAACTTTTTATTTATTCTTTTAATAATTTGCTGTCATGTTAATTCATTGCACCTATGATTTTCTTTTAAACTAAGTACAAGAAATCACCAGACTTGTCAGAGCACTTAACTCTAGTCTGTGGAGTCATTCACTTTCTTATTCTTTGGTACTATCCCAAATAGGTCTTACCTTGCCTTATCAGTTGACTACAATGAAACGTGATATTCTTTTACCTAGAGACACTTATTGTGGCTCCCAACATATTGAACTTACTGTATACAGAAAGTTTGAGAAAGTTGAAACTTTGTTCATCTCAAAACATCACTGTAATATTTACGAAGTAGTTTTTAAATATTGTCTTTAAAACACTGGCGTTTCAGATTGACCTAACTGGAATTGTGGGAAATATTTACTATATATTCTAATTGCCAAATCCAATCCCCACGATCAATTAATAAGCAAAAGCCAGAACAATTTTTGTCAGAAAAATATTTCTTCGTTTTTCAATTCAAATAAACATTATTGATATGTACTCCTGTAACCGGGTGACAGGAGCAGGTCTGCGGGGATGTCCCAAAGACAATCACTGTTCCCCATTGGGGATGTGTTTTCCCAGGTCCTTGGGCCTCACTCACCCAAGAATGGGGAGAGGGCCCTGGTGGCGCAGTGAGCTCATTGAAGTAAGTATCAGACCCGGAGTTTTGCAGAAAGCTATGGATTAGCAGAGAGAGAGAGAGAGAGAAGGAGAAATAGAGAGCGAGAGGGAGCTCCCACGCTGTCGTGGGAGGGGATCCAGAGATGGAGTCGGCACAGGTAAAGAGAGAGCGAGAGAGAAGGCTCCCACGCTGCCGTGGGAGGGGATCCCAAAGAGGGAAATAGGTAAGGGAGTAGGGGGAATTTAACCCCGGAGTTACTCCGGCCCCATTCAGGTTCTTGTCCAGTGAGAGGAGCTTTTCCAGACTTCCTCTGGAGTGACTGATATTCAACTCTGATATTGGATTGGTTGCCGGATTTGCAATCAAAGCCTCCTCCCTCAGAGCTTTTGACCGGCGTTTTAAACAAAGGAAGCTCACCTGGGCTTTCTCCCCAGCCCACACTCAGAGGGAAAATTAGACCAAGAACTCTAAGTCCCCCCAAGGGGAGGTGGATGGAGGCATGGCGGTGGGAAGTTCTTGCCTTTGAAACCACGCCTGTTGTGGACCCGGGAGGAGAAGTTAACATGGTCCCTCACTCCTTTGATAACCATCTTATTTCTAAATGATAATTCTAAGATAATAGGTAAATAAATAGATTTAGATGAAGACACACACCTTTTTTGCCATAAAAGTGACACACTCTTGCCTTCAATGTTCCTTATAGATATTTTCGTTGCTTTGCCCTCAAAGACTCATCCTCAATAGCAATGCATTCTTTGACAACGACAAAAGGGATAACATGTAAAGACACATGCAAATAAAAGTTGTTAAAATTCCGCTATTTCGTTCAACAATATAGCTGTACTCTAAGCATTGACAATATTTTAAGCCTGAACCCTTCATTTCTAATACCATGATTCGCTCTTAACAGAAAGACGCATAATGTGTGGAAAGTCTAGAAGCCCAACCAGGATGATTCAGCCTCGAATATAGAGGGCTAGCAAGGCTGTAATGCCATTATTTTGACCTATCTCTTTTTTTCCTGGAGGTTTTTATATCCCATGGGCAATGCAACCCTGTAAAATTCAGGGTGGTGATAGGCATGCAGGTCCTTTGTAAGGTGGGAAGAAGGCCACTTAAAAAGTGGGGATGGTAAAGGAAAATTGGCATTATGCCTACGCCTCAGATCCTTTTGTAGGTAGACCACTTTTAGAACACACTACATCCATGGAAGTTGAAAAACTGGAAAATGGCTTTCAAGATTTCCTTGGAAAGTCTTCATGTGACCCACAGCTATGCCTGCCAATGGTTGAAATTTTTGGCCCTCTCGGTATCTTTCCTTCTCATTGTTATTAACAGAATTCCTGTTTTCTTTGGGGCATTGTGCACAGCTAAAATTTTCACCTTGCAAGACTGGCTTGCATTATGACGCAGTTATTGCTGATGAAATCTAAACTGAGTTGCTGGGGTTGGGGTGGAGGGCCTGTCTTTTAAAGCAATCGTTTTTCTGATAAAATGGAACCAATTCAGTTGGCCTATCCCCTGGTCTTTCACTTTCCCTCGTTTGTCTCCTTGGAAGGCAAACGCAATCTCTGCAGGTGTAGCAGTCAACTTAACGACCAGCGAAACAAGAGCCACATGTTCATGATGGAAGAATAGATCAATCCAAGGAGACTAGGTCTTTGTTGATCACCTTGGAAGCCTGCACCAGCCTCCAGCTGGTACATCCAGAGTTTTAATGCATGAGAAAAACAGGCCTCATTGTTTAAGCCTTTGCTGTCAGAGTCGTATTTATTGGCTCCAAATCCTAACTGAAACAAGGGATGCTTTTCTTACCCATGCCTTGAGGAATACATGATTTATTTTTCTGGCCTGAAAGATCTTGCTAAATGCTGCAGGGAATGCTAATGAGCTGCTATACAATCATATTTACCATTATTCTAGATAATAGTTTCTCTAATATAGATAAGACAAATTTATAAAATAAATGTTCTGAACATCAACTGAAATCTTATAAGGTTTTTGTAGGCATCACATTCTTATCACTTTTGTTCTTGGAAACAGCAGGCAGTCAGTAAATAATTTCCCAACGACTGACTCTAAGGAGTAAAAAGGCCAACTTGAACATTATTTTTTTACTTAATAATAAGTACTATAATTAATGTTTGAGAATAACTTGGGAAAAACTATGAATTCTACTGTTTATAGAGTGGTTATAAATCACAATATGTGGGGGACTGGAAATAAGATACAATATAATTTAATATTTGAGTAATGAGGGAAACATCACCTGAAATGAGAGTGATGATTTGTAACTTGCAACCTAATACATTTGTGAAAATTTATCAGTGAATTTCGTCTAGTGCTATCCAAGATGATAGATGGCCTGAAAATCTGAAATGAATCACAATTATTATTCATTGAGGAAACAGCTAAATGTATCAGGAGAAATCTCAAAAAATGGCCTGAAAATAACATTCTCAGATATTCAATGATAATAATTTCCCCAAGTGTTTTATATGAATTATGTCATATAATTCTTTCCATAACCCTAAATATGGGTCATATTGTTTCCACTTTATAAATAAGGAACTAAGACATGGATGAAGTAAGCAAACTGCCCACGTTCACACAGGTAATAAAGGATACAGCAGGATTAAAACCAAAGCCGTCGGCTGTACCCGTGGTCTGGAAGTTACCTCTTATGCCTAGCGAGGGCGATTATCCACACTGGATAATTAAACGACTGGGTAAAAAAAGTATTATCCACACTGGATAAAAAATAACGACCTGAGTCCTTTGGAGAGCAAATAAAATCAGGCAGTTTCTGAAGAGAAGCCAACAGTTGTAAGACGGAAATTACATGGGGTTAGTTTCTCATTTTGAAATGACTTTTAGCATACTGTCAGGCTACAGCTGGTGATACACAGGGCAACTAAAACCCAGATAAAAACCCGCAGTCTTTGTGGCTTGAGAAACCAGGAAGAGTTCAGGACAATCGTATCTACTATATACTGAGAAGAAAACTCTGGAGAGCAAAGGGCCGAGAGGGCGACACCAAGTATAGGAAATTTGTCTAAGCCTCTGGTTGACCCCTGAATCCGCATGAAAGTGGCAGGCTTCCAGCTCCTCAGTTCAGGATGAAAGGGTTGAACTAAGAGTTGAGCTGCTACCTCATTTGCAGCTTGAGTCCAAAGTAGTTAGCTGCCTATTCAAACAACAGCAATGACAACAACATTCTTTAAAGAAACCTAACAGAACACAGGTCTTCACAACACAGCTTTCATACATCTAGGACACAATTGAAAAGTACTCCACTGCACAGTGGCTCCCACCTATAACCTCAACACTTTGGGAGGCCAAAGCAGGAGGATCACTTAAGACCAGAAGTTAAAGACCAGCCTGGTCAACATAAGGAGAGCCTGTCTCTACAAAAACTAAGGAAAAAATTAGCCAAGTGTGGTGGTACACACCTGTAGTCACAGCTATTTGGGAGACTGAGGTGGTAGGATCACTCAAACCCAGGAATTTGAGCCTGTGGTGAGCCATAATTGGGCCACTCTACTCCAGCCTCAGCAGCAAAGCAAGACCCCATCTCTTAATTAAAAAAAAAGAAAAAGCACTCCATATAAAAGTTTAAATAAACTGGAAGCTGACACTGCTGTCTCATCATTAAAAGTTCGTATTATCTCCATATGACTAAGAGAATCAGAAAAATAAATGTTACTTGTTTGATGGGATGTTGGCCTTTGACTACGGGGGGCATGTTTTGGTAAGAAGAATCAAGACTTCTATTTGATCGATCTATTATGATGCCGAACAGAGTTGTTTGGGCGATAACAGGTTATACAGTCAAGAGATGCAGGAGAGGTTGAAGCTGGGGTAGAAATTTGAGATTCAACAACTACTATGCTTGATTTTTTCCATAAACAAAGGAAACTAAAATAAAAATTAAAAACTAAATTATCCACACTGAATACTTTCCTTACTGACCTATGTAAAAGCATGCTATGATTGTGTTTTTACCTAGGCTACGTACAGATAATTTTCCTTTTTGCTGAAAATTTTGATAATGAAAGATTTAAAAACAATGGGGCAATCCAGATAAAATGTTTCAACGTGGCAAGATAAACTTAGGGCTTGGTATAATGGGGGGAAGAATCTCTACATGTCCTCGGTTCCATTTGTTTTCTTTTGGTAAGCAGTATATAGAAACAATCCCAGAAACATAATTATTCTCTTGATTTAAAGAGAGAATGTTTCTTTTCATGACTTTTTAATAAAATGTGAGATTACACAAAAATTGAGACATTCATAAATTTCTTTAACAGAACAAAAATAATATGATATATATAGTAATTATATATATATTTTTTGAGACAGTGTCTCAGGCTGCCCTCAGGCTGAAGTGCAGTGACGCAATCTCAGCCCACTGCAGCCTCTGCCTCCTAAGTTCAAGCAATTCTCCTGCCTTGGGACCCTGAGGTCCCAAGCAGCTGGGATTACAGGTGCTCGCTACCATGCTCAGCCAATTTTTTGTATTTTTAATAGGGGCAGGGTTTCACCATGTTTACCAGACTGGTCTCAAACTCCTCACCTGGTGATCTGCCCGCCTCAGCCTCCCAAAGTTCCTGGATTACAGGCTTGAGCCACCACACCCAGCCTAAATATTTCCGACTTACCTGATCCTCATTTGAAATGACCTTGAAACACTTTACAAAAGCTCAGATTAATAAGAACAGGAACCCTACACATTGATGGAATTAGATATTATAATTCTTCCCATTGTAATTACAGAAAAAGCAAGATATTACACCTCTTCCACTGTCCTAAGTACTCATTTTAGGATTTAGACACATTGTGTTTGTGTGTAGGGCTGGTGTTGGGATGGTTACCATGGGTTTATGGTATGGAAGATGAAAGAGTCTCCTGAGAAAGAATTCATCCAGGAAAAGAGTTGGTACACAGCTATGTCTAATATTAGAGCCTTGGTCACAGGACGGGACAGGAGACTCAGCAGTGTCAGCCACCAAACTGTTCTTTTGACCTACTTCCATCGATTCATCTCTGAGTTCTGGAGAGACGAGTGGCAAGTAAAACCCTACAATTTTTCTCACCAAAAGCTCTGTAAGACGTTAATTTTTTAACTGAGCGTTTATTGCTTTTTTTCTGCCCAGCATCCCTTACTTTCATCATTCTTACTTGCCCCTTCTTTGTGGAATTTTTCTTCCCTTGTCTTTCGTGAGAGTGTAATGATGCTCTCCATTTCAATATCTTATCCTCGGGCCACAGTGATTGATTCAAGCAAAAGCACCTGTCCCAAACTGTATCAAACAGTGTCTTTGATGAGATTTTTCATATTATTAGAGGACCTTTGGGGTATCCCTTTTCTGGCCAGAAACCTTTGTGGTTGGTGGCACCTTTGCCTGAGTTTCGCTCTGGCCCACTGAGCTCTTTCCATCCACTTGGCCTGGCAGGCCATGCTCAGTTCATGCTACCAGCCTGGACCCCATGACTCCAAGGGCAAGTCAGGCATGGAACGGTGAGGGGTATGTGAGCAAGTGTGGGGTTTGCCCACTGCACACAGTCAAACACACCAGCTGTTGCCACAGAGTGGGCAGCTCCAGGTGCCAGCATGGGCACGGGCTCTCTGCGAGGCTGCAGCTGGACCAGGTGCACCACAAGCAGCTTCCCTGGCTGGCACCAGGGAATGCAATGGCACCCAGAACCTTGGAGATATCAGGAACCACGGGGACCCAAAGAGGGAATCACAGACCTGGCTTAGGGAGCTCTCAGACCTGGGATCAATTCCTCAAATGGAAGACTGAATTCACATAGTGTAAGGGCAAAAATATCTCAGTCCAGAATCTGAGAAACTTGTTTATTTCCAAGGCCTCTTACAAAGGAAGAAAATATTTGACTTGAGAATTAAAAGACAACTTTGTAATCTCATCTTTCCAGTCTTCTACTTAAGCTATAAAGTAAGAATATGGCTATATTTGACTCTGAGGATAAAATGAGATACGATGAAAGCTATATGCATTAAAATGATAAGTGATAGGTGAAAAGCTAAATGCATCAAAAATATGGACATCATTGTAATGAGCAAAGCGTGGTGATGTACTGTTGGCAGTGCAGCTCCAAACGTGGGTGGATGCAATCTCCCTCACCTTTCCATGTGTTCCCTCTCTCCTCTTAGTCTGTGCTAACCCCATTTAACATAGAAAGGAATCTCATTCCTTTCTCAAATCACATAGGCAATACATGTTGACACACACACACACACACTCACTCTGATATGTCATGGATGACGCTTGTCTTACCAAGTCTGCACTGGTCTAGGAGTAGCTGCTGGTGGCTGATGCCTGTTCTGATTGACAGTGTCTTGCACTGATGAAAGATTTTTAAGGTCATCTCTGTTTGCATGCATAGTGGTTTCTTTTTGCACTATTTTATATATTTTAAAATTTTACTTGGAAAAGAGATGGACTATTGAATTTACCCCTATTCCCAATATGCTCCCCACCCTCCCCCAAGGCCTTTTTGATTAGAGTTTAGGAGCATTTTACTGCTCAACTTGCACTAGGATATTCTAAAGAAAACAAAACTCTAGATAAATAACAGGGCTGCAAATAAACCTGGTATGATTTGACACTTTATGAATTGTAGACAGGAGGCCAGGCCCAGAAGCTCACGCCTATAATCCCAGCACTTTGGGAGGCCGAGGTGGGCAGATCACCTGAAGTCATGAGTTTGAGACCAGCCTGGCCAACATGGTGAAACCCCATCTCTACTAAAAATACAAAAATTAGCCAGGCATGATGATACATGCCTGTAATCCCAGCTACCTAGAGGGGCTGAGGCAGGAGAATTGCTTGAACCCGAGAGGTGGAGGTTGCAGTGAGCCAAGATTGCACCACTGCACTCCAGCTTGAGTGATAGAATGAGACCCTGTCTCAAAAAATAAAATAAAATAAAATTTAGACAGGCATTTAGGCAGTGGACAGGAGTACATTCAGAGAGTCTAGTGGTTAGTGGGCAATATTTTCATCCCCTCCTCCAGCCCCCGGCTGCCCTTTAAGTGGAAGTGAAAGTTCCCTTAGAAATTTATTGTTTAACATTTATAGGAAATTACTCTTCTCATGTTACCATATGAACTTTGGTGAGACATAAGGATGAGAATTTTGTATCTCTGTCAACAGTTAATGCTGATAAAGGTTTTAATTTGAGGAATTTTGCTAATTAAATCATTAACTGATGTGAGAAAACTCATAATGAGCCAAATATTTTAGATCAGGGAACTCCGAGGCATTTGACAATGCTTTTAATTCTAGCAGAAGTGGAAAACATGTTTCCATTTATAGCCACCATCACATTCAATACAATAAATTAGATGCGGGTCAGAAGAGCCAGTGCTCCATGTTGTCATGAAAAAGACACTGGTACCAAAGAGCCAATTAGTTGTAGCACTTACTCTTTAAATCACCAGTCATCGTTTTCTTTTTGAAACCTCCTTATTCTGAAAGATAAATGAGTAATTGATGAGCCAGTGAAGGAGAGAAATTTCCATCATTCCAGAAGTTCAGGTGTAAGTGAATGGAGCTTCTACTGGTGAAACCTACTCACAGGGAAAACAGTAACATTTTAACAAAAGTATAGGTAACTTTATTTTAGTTTGGAGAGAAATGGAGTTAACACTGAACACATGTTGAATTTGATAAACTGGTGATAATAGAAAGAAAAATATATTACATTAATACAGTCTTTCTGCCTGTAAGAAGACTGAAAAAAAAGGTAAAAGCCCTTTCCCTTCTCCCAACATCTGCCTCCAGGCTAAAAACAAATGATCTGTAACCATCAGAAAAGGGGTGGCCTTCTCTCTTGTCAGTCGAGATGTAAGGATGAAAGAGCACATCCAAGGGCCATCACTGAGGAGTTAGAATGAGGGGCTACTTCAAAAGTATGCAAAGGTCAATGAAAACCAACAAGGGGTTTATTGTACCTTGTAGGGCTATTGCCACCCCTAGACCTGAGGGACAAGCAGAGGAAGCCCACAGAGGAGCTCAGAGGGCACCTGACATTGGAGAAAGGGCCAGCTGATGGGAGTGTGGCCTTTGATAAAGTTGTGCACTGGCACAGGGTATACTGGCAGAGAGGGGTCCAGAATATGCACTTATCCTTGCCTTTCTATCACTCTCTGACCTCCTGTCAGGGCTCCCAATGATCCAACTTGTAAAGAAACCAGAGAGCAAGAAGCCTATTGATGGAGCACAGATTAATCAGCCTCCCGGGAATAAACCTAACTCGAGAAAGGCAGAGAGTACATGCAAGGTGGCAGGCTGAAAACTTCCAGCACAAATCTATCGGGTGCTTGATGCTTTTTAAGGTTGCAGTACTGTATGAACAGATGCACATTCTCCCTCTTGCTCTGTCTCTTCACACACACACACACACACACACACACACACACACTCTCTTTTACCATCTCCCCTAATTCTGCTATCTGTGCCTCTCTTTATTCTGAAACTAACACTACCTCCCAAACAGCCAGGGAAAAGAAAGGCAGAGGAAGAGTTCTTTAATCACAATGAAATTAATTTAGGAATCACTGTATATGTATGTGCATATATATGGAAAATTACTCAGTAAGTAATCAATACACACATTCATTTAAACTAAATGAAAATGAAAATACAGGCTGGGCACAGTGGCTCACATTCGTAATCCCAGAACTTTGGGAGGCTGAGGCAAGTGGATCACCTGAGGTCAGGAGTTCAAAACTAGCCTCACAAACATGGTGAAACCCCATCTCTACTAAAAATACAAAAATTAGCCAGGCATGGTGGCAGGTGCCTGTAATCCCAGCTACTTGGGAGGCTGAAGCAGGAGAATCCCTTGAACCAGGGAGGCAGAGGTTGCAGTGAGCCAAGATTGTGCCACTGCACTCCAGCCTGGGCGAGAGAGCGAGACTCTGTCTCAAAAAAATGAAAATACAAATATCAAAATTTGTGTAATGCAGATGAATCAGTGTTTATAGGGAAATTTGTAGCCTAAAATACATCTATTAAGGAAGAAGAAAACTCGAATATCTAAGCTTCCTCCTTAAGGATTGAGGGAAAAAGAGCAAATCAAGCTTTAGAAAAGCAGAAAAAATGGAATAACAAAGAGAAGAAAAGTAATCAGTGAAATGAAATGCACTCATGTGTGTAGTAGATAAAACTAACACAAACAACAGCTGGTTCTTTGAAAAATTAAACAAAATTAATAAAATTCTATTTAGACTGATAAAAAAAAGGAGGAAGACATGTTTTCCAATATCAGAAATTTAAAGTGATGAGAGGGCATCACAATAGATAGCACAGCTATTAAAGATAATAGAATATTACAAATACCTTCATATTAATAAATTCAATAGCTTAGATGAAATGGACCAATTCATTGACAGACACAAATTTCCCTAACTGATTCAACAAACAAAAGAAATTTTGGATAGACATATGTCTATTTTTAAACATTGTATTCATAATCCAAAAACTTTTCA